TATATATAACTATATATATATATATATATATATATATATATATATATATATATTTATATATATATACTGTATATATTTATATATATATACTGTATATATATGTATATATCAACATTGACCGCAAATAACACAAATGTCTCTATATCTAACTCTAATCCAAAATTATGTATTGTTTATATTTTTGTATGAACAAATTATTTAAAATTTTAAATACCAACAAATAAAACTTGATAACGTCACCAGGCCTTTTTAATATGGATTAAACAATAAATTGAATCAGATTTAATACAAAACAATCTTTTTTTTTTTTTTACTTAAGATTTTAAAAAATTCACGAAAGATTAAATATATCTGTATGACACATGTTCCATGTTTGGTCAAAGAAGAATTAAAAATATTCTACATAGTACTCAGCAATGCATCTTTTGTTTCCCAATAGGATTGCTTGAAGAACACATTAGGACTAAGCTTGGTCAGGTTTCCTGCAGTATCTAGTGTTCTTGTCTTGAGTGGTAAACCAAATGTCCCTCCTGATGGACAGTGAGGTTCTGACCTGGACTGGACTCGTCCGGCTGGTTTATATCATGAACATGTGAAACGTAGAACTACAGAGCAGCTTGTTCCAGAAGATGACATCTGATCTTTCCTTACCATTTATTTTAGCAGCTGGAGCACAGGACCACATCAGAACCACGAAGAAACATTTCACGTCCAGGGGAAACATTCTGCTGTTGAAATCTTAACCCGTTCAGTTTAATCCAAACCACAAACTAGAACCTGAACTCTTCCTTCTTCTGGATGAAATGAGGTCGTTCTCAGAGTTCTGCGTTCATCTGTGACCTTCTGCTGTGGAACATCCCACTGATGCTGGAGAACCTCCCCCTCTTCCTGCCAACTCCAGCCAGTCCAGCCTGCACAAACAAACACACACATACATTCCTTTCTACTGAAGTCACCTTTTCCCGTCACTGCAGAACTGACTGCATCACAGCCACACAGACAACAACTAAACACAAAAAATGTGCTAAAACAGAAACTGTCATTCTGTGCGTCTTTTTTTATATATGAAAACCTTCAGCTGGTTTTGTTAACCAATGCAGGATCCAAAAAGAGTCTGTGATTTGATGTCTTTTAGTCTAATTTATTTCAACATTTAGATCAAACAAGTCTATATTTGGACTAAACAGGTTTAAAGTTGATGTCTAAGTTATACCATCCATCCATTATCTTTTACCCGCCTGTTCCTTTTCAGGTCATGGGTGTCACTGGTGCCCATATCCAGCCATCTAATGTGCAAGAGGCAGGGTACACCCTGGACAGGTCTGGTGGTGGTAAGACCTTGAAACAGATTTCAGTACAGGGTGAGAATTTATTTTGAAGTTTCTGGTAAATTAAAAAGAATACAGATTATTAAAATGATCAAATTGTACAATATACATAAAAAATCCTGCTAATGAACTTTTAATTAACTTTAGTTCACCATTAAATCTCTGATGAACAAGATTCTACAAAAACATCTATATTTAAATTTTTTATACTTTTTTCATCATTTGATGTATTTGTTTCTTGTATACATATTTTTATATTTTTTTGCTTTATTTTAAAGTTTAATTTTTGTTTTGTGATTTGTACTCCTGTGGGTTAGAATAAAGTTGAACTAAAGGCTGTATCTCTTCTTTAATCATGTTTGAGGGAAATATTCCTGAGAGAGCCAATAATTTTGTGTCTTTTTATGATTTTTCAGATTAGTTAACTTTAACAGATTATTTAATAGTCATTAAAGTGAAAACAGGATTTCATGATAAAGCCGGCACTATTTATTTATTTATAATCTTCACTGATTAAAAAATACAAATTTTTATACATAAAATGTTTTTAAAAAAAGAGGGGTTTGAGTGTCCCAATGATCCTAGGAGCTATGCTGTCAGGGGCTTTACGCCCCTAGTAGGGTCAACCAAGGCAGACAGGTCCTAGGTGAGGGACCAGACAAAGTGCAGCCCAAAGACCCCTATGATGAGAAAAAGAAATGGACTTGATGTTCCCTTGCCCGGACGTGGGTCACCGGGGCCCCACTCTGGAGCCAGGCCTGGAGGTGGGCGAGCGCCTGGTGGTCGGGCTTTTACCCATGGAGCTTGGCCGGGTACAGCCCGAAGAGGAGATGTGGGTCCCCCTTCACATGGGCTCACCACCTGTGGGAAGGGCCAAAGGGAGCAATGTGGGATGGGTGGTGGCCGAGGGCGGGAACCCTGGCGGTCTGATCCTCGGTCACAGAAGTTGGCTATTGGGACGTGGAATGTCACCTCACTGGTGGGGTAGGAGCGTGAGCTAGTGTGTGAGGTTGAGAGGTTCCAGCTAGAAATAGTCGGATTCACCTCTACACATGGCTTTGGCTCTGGAACCAGTTTCCTTGAGAGGAGTTGGACACTCTTCCACTCTGGAGTTGCCCCTGGTGAGAGGCGCCGAGCAGGTGTGGGCATACTTATTGCCACCCATCTTGGTGCCTGTGTGTTGGGGTTCACCCCGGTGAATGAGAGGGTGGCCTCCCTCCGCCTACATGTGGGGGGATGGATTTTGACTGTCGTTTGTGCTTATGCACCAAATGGCAGTTCAGATTATCCACCCTTTTTGGAGTCCTTGGAGGGGGTACTGGAAAGTGCACCTCCTGGGGACTCCCTTGATCTGCTGGGGGACTTCAATGCTCACGTGGACAATGACAGTGAGATCTGGAGGGGTGTGGTTGGGAGGAACGGTCCCCCTGATCTGAACCCGAGTGGTGTTCTGTTGTTGGACTTCTGTGCTTGTAATGGATTGTCAATAACGAACACCATGTTCAGGCATAAGGGTGTCTATATGTGCACTTGGCACCAGGACACCCTAGGCCGCAGTTCAATGATCGACTTTGTCGTCATCTCATCTGATCTGTGGCCACATGTCTTGGACACTCGGGTGAAGAGAGGGGCGGAGCTGTCCACTGATCACTACCTGGTGATGAATTGGCTCCGATGGTGGGGGAGGATGACGTTCAGACCTGGCAGACCCAAACGTATTGTGAGGGTTTGCTGGGAACGTCTGGCAGAGTCTCCTGTGAGACGGAGTCTTAACTCCCACCTCTGGGGGAACTTCCAACATGTTATCCGGGGGAGATGGGGGACATTGAGTCAGAGTGGGCCATGTTCCGTGCCTCTATTGTCAAGGAGGCTTACCGGAGCTGCGGCCGCAAGGTTGTCGGTGCCTATCGCAGCAGCAACCCTCGAACACTGTGGTGGACACCGGCGGTGAGGGATGCTGTCAGGCTGAAGAAGGAGTCCTATGGGGCCTTTTTGGCCTGTGGGACCCCGGAAGCAGATGATGGGTACCGGCAGTCCAAGCGACATGTGGCTCGGGTGGTCGCTGAGGCAAAAACTCGGGCATGGGAGGAGTTCGGAGAGGCCATGGAGAACGACTTCCTCATGGCTTCGAGGCGATTCTGGTCCACCATCCGGCGTCTCTGGGGGGGAAAGTGGTACGCCACCAACACTGTTTATAGTGGGAGTGGTGTGCTGCTGACCTCAACTCAGGATGTCGTGGGTCGGTGGGCAGAGTACTTTGAAGACCTCCTCAATCCCACCAATAGTCTTCCACTGAGGAAGCGGAGCCTGGGGACTCTGGGTTGGGCCTTCAAATCTCTGGTGCTGAGGTCACCGAGCGTGGGAGTTTGCCCAACCATTCTACATGTGCTTTGTGGACTTGGAGAAGGTGTTTGACCGCGTCCCTCGGGGAACCCTGTAGGGGGTACTCTGGGAGTATTGGGTACCGGGCCCTTTGATACGGGCTGTTAGGTCCCTGTATGACCAGTGTCAGAGCCTGGTATGCATTGCTGGCAGTAAGTCGAGCTTATTCCCAGTGAGAGTTGGACTCCGCCAAGGTTGCCCTTTGTCACTGATTCTGTTCATAACTTTTATGGACAGAATTTCTAGGTGCAGCCAAGGTGTTGAGGGGATCCGTTTTGGTGGTCTTAGGCTTGCGTCCCTGCTCTTTGCAGATGATGTGGTCCTGTTGACTTCATCAGATTGTGATCTACAGCTTTCGCTGGAGCGGTTCGCAGCCGAGTGCGACGCGGCTGGGATGAAGATCAGTTCCTCCAAATCCGAGGCCGGAAAAGGGTAGAGTGCCCTCTCTGGGTCAGGGAGGAGGTCCTACCCCAAGTGGAGGAGTTCAAGTATCTTGGGGTCTTGTTCACGAATGAGGGAAAAATGGAACATGAGATCGATAGGTAGATCAGTACAGCGTCTGCAGTGAAGCGGGCGCTGTACAGGTCTGTTGTGGTGAAGCGAGAGCTGAGTCAAAAGGTGAAGCTCTCAATTTACCAATCGACCTACGTTCCTACCCTCATCTATCATGTCATGAGCTTTGGGTTGTGACCGAAAGAACAAGATCTCAGATACATCGGCCGAAATGAGTTTTCTTCGCAGGGTGTCTGGGCTCTCCCTTAGTGATAGGGTGAGAAGCTCGATCATCCGGGAGGGACTCAAGAGTAGAGCCGTTGCTTCTCCACGTTGAGAGGAGCCAGTTGAGGTGGCTCAGGCATCTGTTTAGGATGCCTCCTGGACGCCTCCTTAGTGAGGTGTTCTGGACAAGTCCCACCGAGAGGAGACCCAGAGGAAGACCCAGGACACACTGGAGGGACTATGTTTCTCATCTGGCCTGGGAACGCCTCAGGATTCCCCCAGAAGAGCTGGACCAAGTGGCTGGGGAGAGGGAAGTCTGGGCCTCCCTACTTAGGCTGCTACCTCCACGACCCGACCCCGGATATGTGGAAGAAAATGGATGGATGGATGTTTATAAAAATCGTTTCCACCCTCTGTCCCAGATCCGTCCTGGTCCGCCGGTCTGCTGGGGAACGAGGTTCGCCCTTCATGAGTATGTGAGTCCGGGGCCCGGACCCTGATCTTCTGCGAGTCAGCAGCTCTTTTGATCCTTCGCAGTGACCAGCAGAGCTCAGAGTCCATAGAGCACACAAGGCCAGGATACAGAGCCCGAGCCCCGGGTCAGCTGCAAGGAGGATCTTCCGCGTTGACTGGCAGAGCTCAGAGCCAGGGAGATGATGCCCTGCTCAACCTGTGGGGGCTGCAAAGCTCTGGTGGAGAGCACCGAGGGGAATTGAGGACCAGGAGGAGTTGGGGACAGGTGGAGCGCCAACTCACTCTGAATTTTGTCATCGGCCATCAAGCACAAAAAACACCAGCATTTCAGCATTAGACCACTGTGATGTTATTACTGTTTTAAAAATCTTAAAAATAGGTTCAATCACTCCTCGAGTTGAGTTATTGCAAATGGCGGATCGAGTGTTGTGAAAATTTCTCAAACCCCTAGTGAATCCACCCCTTGACCAATCAATGACAGACAGTGTTCTGACGTTACGTTTTGGTACAGATTCGGCCCGGCTGGAACCCTTGAGACAAGGGTACTGAAAAAAAGCGACCTGTTCTATGAACTGTTACGATTGGAAAAGACTTGGAACCGTGTCAAGTCGAGTCGAACCGTGCTGTCCCATTACCAATAGAAAAGTGGCAATAGAGACAAACAAGACAAACAACCATTCACTCTCTCACTCTCACCTAGGGATAATGTGGGAGGAAACTCGAGTACCCAGAGAAAACCCACGCATGCATGGAGAAAACATACAAACTCCACCCAGAAAGGACCATTTGATTTGATTTGAGGATTTGAATTGATGACCATTCA